GTGAGGTGGTAGTCCTTTGTGATATTATACATTTTTCTCAGGAGGAGGCAGTGGTTCACAGTATCATAGGCCGCTGACAGGTCTATGAAGACAGCTCCTGTGATCTGCTCCCTTTCAAAGCCATCTTCTAGGTGCTGAGTCAGGTTCAGCACTTAGATATGGATGACTAAGGTTGTGTTTTTATTCAGCTTGTTGAGGATCTAGTCCGATTAAACCCAGTGGGACTTGCTTCTGATGTTCAAACTAGACTGGTTTTAGAAGTGGTGTTCCCTCAAATGGTGAAAACATGTTTGTTCATAGCACATCCTCACCTACACCTTGCATTTAGCATGCTTTGTTTTGTTGTTGCTTATTGGAAGGTAAACACAAGCTGATTTTTGAGGCACGTATTTTATTTATTTATTTATTTATTTATTTATTTATTTTGTGTATTTCTACCCCGCCCTTCTCAACCCCCGAGGGGAGACTCAGGGCGGCTTACAAAAAGGCACAATTTGATGCCTACACAGTAATACAGATAAAATATAGACAGCAATTAAAACAGTTTTAACAGTTAAAAACAATCAAAATATATCACAGTCAATAAAAAACCAATCTTATGCCCAACGTTCGCAACTCAGAGTCCATAACTTTATTCCACATTTTCCATTCCTGTTAGTCGTCGTTGTCCTTTATTTATCTGCCAGATTGCCCACACGCCTGGTCCCAAATCCATGCTTTTAATTTCCTTCTAAAGGAAAGGAGGGATGGCGATTTCCCCGGGGAGTGAATTCCATAGGTGAGGGGCCAACACTGAAAAGGCCCTGCTCCTCGTCCCCGCCAGTCTCACTTGTGATAGAGGCAGGGCCGAGAGCAGGGCCTCCCCAGAAGATCTTAAATTCCGAGGTGGGACGTAGAGGGAGATGCGTTCGGACAGATACACTAGGCCGGAGCCATATAGGGTTTTGTAGGTCAAAACCAGCACTTTGAATTGTGCTCGGAACTGGATCGGCAGCCAGTGGAGTTGACACAAGAGAGGGGTAGTATGCTCCCTGTATGATGCTCCGGTGAGTAATCTGGTTGCCGCCCGCTGGACTAATTGAAGTTTCCGAACAGTCTTCAAAGGCAACCCCACGTAGAGTGTGATGCAGTAATCTATTCGGGATGTAACAAGAGCATGGACCACTGTGGCCAGATCTGACTTCCCAAGGTATGGGCGCAACTGGCGCACAAGTATTAATTGTGCAAATGCTCTCCCGGCCACCGCCGAGACCTGGGGTTCCAGGCTCAGCGATGAGTCCAGGATCACTCCCAAGCTGCAAACCTGCGTCTTCAAGGGGAGTGTAACCCCATCTAACAGAGGCTGTAACCCAATGCCCTGTTCAGCCTTACGACTGACCAGTAGGACCTCTGTCTTGTCTGGATTCAATTTCAATTTGTTAGCTCTCATCCAGTCCGACACAGCCGCCAAGCACCGGTTCAAGGTTTGGACAGCCTCCTTGGTGACAGGTGAGAAGAAGTGACAGATTTGGACATCATCTGCGTAGAAGTGGTGCTCCCTCAAATGGTGAAAACATGTTTGTTCATAGCACATCCTCACCTATACACCTTGTATTTAGCATGCTTTGTTTTGTTGTTGCTTATTGGAAGGTAAACACAAGCTGATTTTTTGAGGCACAAATATCTGAAGAAATCCCATTTTGGAAGGAGACACATACGGTAGGTAAAACACATTCTTCTTAACGTCTAGGACAGTGGTTCTCAACCCATGAGTCCCCAGGTGTTTTGGTCTTCAAATCCTGGAAATCCTAGCATCTGGTACACTGGCTGGGATTTTTGGGAGTTGTAGACTAAAACACCTGTGGACCCACAGGTTGAGAACCACTGATCTAGAACATTTTCCTACCATTGTTATAGAGCTGAGGCTATCATCTGTCGATCGTCCAATCTGCTCCTGCAGATTTCTGTTTAGGGAAGACAAGGACCACTCTGGCTAAGAATTCCAAAGGCTTTGCCTTAAACTACATTTCCCAGAATTCTACAGTAGCAACTCGAATGACTGGCAGATGATAGCCTTTGTTTTATTATGCTGATGGGAAAACATATCTATTTTTATTATGAGCAAACATGTGTAGGATACCCCCACAGCCACATTGTTATTTAAACACATCTTATAAAACAAAACTGTATCGCGGAACAATGGCTTCAAACTACAAGAGAGGAGATTCCATCTGAACATGAGGAAGAACTTCCTGACTGTGAGAGCCGTTCAGCAGTGGAACTCTCTGCCCCGGAGTGTGGTGGAGGCTCCTTCTTTGGAAGCTTTTAAACAGAGGCTGGATGACCATTTGTCAGGGGTGATTTGAATGCAATATTCCTGCTTCTTGGCAGGGGGTTGGACTAGATGGCCCATGAGGTCTCTTCCAACTCTTTGATTCTATGATTCTATGATTACATATAAAGACATTTGTTATGCCTATTTAATACAGAAATTGGTAATATATAATTTCCCCTTGAAGGACTTCTTAGCCCTTACCGATCTCTTAAGAAGGGAACACACCAGCTCTCCTTACTGAAAAGAGAAGTATCTTATTACATTAGAGGTCTCAGCTCTCAGACTGAAAACAGAGGAGATATAGGGGAAAGCATGTACTAGAAATGTTATTTGGTACTTTACCCATCCATCTGAACTACCAATAATCAATGACATTCTCACTCACTCAGAGATGAAATTTCCCCATTTTAATTTTTCTCCATGTGCTCTTACTATAGCAGAAAGATTTATGTTTCAAAAGTGGAATGACAAATGCTCTCCATCTATTATTCAATAGTAGGAGAATTTTACTGTTCTACTCAAGCATTAAGTTTATTATATATGTGCCAAAATCAAGTAAAAACATTCTGGGTTTATATTAAACATATATTAATGTTCATGCCGACCCCAATATATTTATCCAGAATGTTCTACCCTTCTTCATGCTTTCTGTGCTGGTACGGCTGTACCAGGAGCTCCAATTTTATTTGCTTTGTATTAAATGTTTGCTTGCAGTCCTAGGTTTCAGGGACTCTGCAGATAGGTGGCTTCCTTTGGTTGCAGTCATAGGGCAAGTCACCTGTCCATCATCGTTAAGTTTTGGTTCCGCCCCTTGCTCAGGGCAATTGGGAAGGGAAGGGAGCCATTTTTAGTTAGTCTCAGCAAGGAAAACTAATGTACAGGACGTGTGCAAGCTTCCCCTGTACAAAAGCTTCAACCCTTAAGACTTTCCAGGGGAGAACAGTCTTAAGAGTCTCCAAAGATTTCCAGGGAAACAGCCCTAAAGACCAAAGAACTCCAGCTGGAGAACATCTAAGCCTTTACTGGTAGGTCCACTTGGTGTTCGAGAAGCAGTTCGACCCGGTAGCAGAGCCCACATCAGTAAGGGTTAGATTACAGTCAGCCTGGGAGAAGTTAAAAAGGGGACTTTCCTTTAAAGTAAAGAAGAAGTTATTGAAGACAGTTGCCTGTCCTTCGTGAGCAAGTTTAGGAAGCTACCAGTTGCATAAAAGCCTGGAATCATTTGTTTATCTTTACTGAAGACAAGAGAAGTTTCTGTTTGATTGTTCATTAGTAAAGGACTTTGTTATACGTCACAAGCCATCTAAAGATCATTTGTGGTGGAAAACCTCTGAGAACTTCTCTTTGGGCCCCCTGGCTTCCCGCTGGGCAAAGGTTGCACATCCTGTTCTAAAGGAATTTCTTTACAGGCCCAGCACACAACAGAACACTTTCTCTCACACTCTCTCCTTTCTTTCCTTTCATGTTTATCTACAACCCTTAAAAAGTAGTAAGGCTGGATGACTTGAAATGACTCACAGTGGTGACTATGTTGGTCTTGTCAGTGACTTTCTTGTTAAGTCCTGAGCTTTGAACTAAGTGCCAGTTGGGCACAAATGCCACTTCTTTTATACTCCAGACTTTTATAGGATTAGCAAACAGAATCAGTTTGGTGCTGCTAAGGGAGAGGGAAAGCAGATATTAATCTAGATTATGTGCATCTGCTTCATCTGTTTTAACTCTAGGGTCATGGTGGGATAGTCTAAAAGCATCCAGACAAATGGCTCAATGCTATAGACTCATGGGAGTTATAGTTTTACAAGATCTTTAGCCTTCTCTGCCAAAGAATGCTGGTGCGTCACCAAGATACAACCTCTATAATTCCATAACATGGATCCATGGCAGTTAATATAGTGTCAAACTGCATTAATTTTACAGTATTTATTTATCGTGTCATCAGCAACCACACCATTGTATTACATTTCTAACAGAACAAAACAAACAGATAAAAAAAACACAAATCTTGCAAACTTGGTAGTTGATTAAATGTCCTTTGACCAGTATCTGGCCACTTGGAGTGCCTCTGGTGTTGCCGCAAGAAGGTCATGTGCATGTAGCAGGGCTCAGGTTGCGGTCTGTGGTTTGCTCTTCTCCGCACTCGCATGTCGTGGATTCAACTTTGTAGCCCCATTTCTTAAGATTGGCTCTGCATCTCGTGGTGCCAGAGTGCAGTCTGTTCAGCGCCTTCCAAGTCGCCCAGTCTTCTGTCTTCTCATCTGGTATCACCCACGGATTGAGGTGCTGGGTTTGAGCCTGCCACTTTTGAACTCTCGCTTGCTGAGGTGTTCCAGCGAGTGTCTCTGTAGATCTAAGAAAACTATTTCTAGATTTATTTATCGAGTCATCAGCAACCAGTCAGTTATATTACATTTCTAACAGAACAAAGCAAACAAACAGAGAGAATACAAAAATACAAAATACAGAATACAAAATGTGTGAGTTTGGTAGTTGATTAAATGTCCTTTGACCAGTATCTGGCCACTTCTGCTTCTGGCGTTGCTGCAAGAAGGTCCTCCATTGTGCATGTGGCAGGGCTCAGGTTGCATTGCAGTAGGTGGTCAGTGGTATGCTCCTCTCCACACTCACATGTTGAAGATTCCACTTTGTAGCCCCATTTCTGAAGGTTGGCTCTGCATCTCGTGGTGCCAGAGCACAGTCTGTTCAGCGCCTTCCAAGTCGCCCAGTCCTCTGTGTGCCCAGGGGGGAGTCTCTCATTTGGTATCAGCCATTGGTTGAGGCTCTGGGTTTGGGCCTGCCACTTTTGGACTCCCGCTTGCTGGGATGTTCCAGCGAGTGTCTCTGTAGATCTTAGAAAACTATTTCTGGATTTAAGTCGTTGACATGCTGGCTGATACCCAAACAGGGGATGAGCTGGAGACAGGCCCGTAGCCAGGATTTCGTTTCGGGGGGGCTGAATTTGTTTCAGGGGGGGGTTGGGGGGGCTGAGTTTCAGGGGGGCTGAGTCTGAGTGAAAGAGGGTCTACCCTAGCAAACCTTTTGTATCATTACCCCAATACATATATGGGATATATTGAGTATGGTGATCAGATCATGATATGAATAAACATAACAGTTTAATAATGCACCAGTAAGGCCTTTTCGCGAACCACCATGAGAATTTCGGGGGGCCCCCTGACCCCCCCCCCCCCCCCGCCCGCTACATGCCTGGCTGGAGATGTCTCTGCCTTGGTCCTTTCACTATTGGCTGCTACTTCCCGGCGGATGTCAGGTGGTGCAATACCGGCTAAGCAGTGTAATTTCTCCAGTGGTGTAGGGCACAGACACCCGTGATAATGCGGCATGTCTCATTAAGAGCCACATCCACTGTTTTAGTGTGGTGAGATGTGTTCCACACCGGGCATGCATACTCAGCAGCAGTGGGGCTGTTTATTGGTCTAATATTACAGTGTCAAGGAGGTAGAGGAGGCCTTCCAAGTAGGAAAGACTATCAGTGATCTTGGCAACTAGACCTTCCTGTTTATTGGTCTAATATTACAGTGTCAAGGAGGTAGAGGAGGCCTTCCAAGTAGGAAAGACTATCAGTGATCTTGGCAACTAGACCTTCCAATGGATTGCCCTCAAAAGCCCTGCAGATCCTGAAATTTGGAGTGGATTTGGGGGAAATAACAATGAAATTAGCATAAAAAGCCAAGTTTGCCCCTTATCATCTTACGAGAAAAACTTTGAAGAAACTCAAAGCACTTCTGGGTAACAGTTGGCCTGAAATGTTGGAGGCTATGCAGCCCTGCCTGATAGAATCATAGAATCATAGAATCAAAGAGTTGGAAGAGACGTCATGGGCCATCCAGTCCAACCCCCTGTCAAGAAGCAGGAATATTGCATTCAGATCACCCCTGACAGATGGCCATCCAGCCTCTGTTTAAAAGCTTCCAAAGAAGGAGCCTCCACCACACTCCGGGGCAGAGAGTTCCACTGCTAAACAGCTCTCACAGTCAGGAAGTTCTTCCTCGTGTTCAGATGGAATCTCCTCTCTTGTAGTTTGAAGCCATTGTTCCGCGTCCTAGTCTCCAAGGAAGCAGAAAACAAGCTTGCTCCCTCCTCCCTGTGGCTTCCTCTACACATATTTATACATGGCTATCATATCTCCTCTCAGCCTTCTCTTCTTCAGGCTAAACATGCCCAGCTCCTTAAGCCGCTCCTCATAGGGCTTGTTCTCCAGACTCTTGATCATTTTAGTTGCCCTCCTCTGGACACATTCCAGCTTGTCAATATCTCTCTTGATCCTGGGTATCACTTTGCTGCAGTTGGTTACATATCTCAGTTCGTGGTATGTTCTGTGGAAAACCCAGGTTTGCCTCTGCAGAATGTTCGAAATATTATGTTTTCTGGTTTTTCGAAAATGAGGTGTATAAAATGCGTAATGAGACAGAAGCATCAACTTCCAGTCAAGCCAAACTGTTTAATCAGTGTGAAATCTCAGTCCTACTTTATAATTGGGTTGCAAAGATGCAAATCAGCTTGGGGTGGGGGAAATTCAGCCCATCGCAAGCCCTCAATAATGTGAATCACCATAACAGACCCAAACCATTTTAGCAAACTGGATGCCTGTTTTTAAAGACAAATGCTAAATGTATCTGTTACAATAAAATGCGTGGAAGAGGAGAACAAGGAGGGGAAATAACTCCCATTCTTTGACATATTTATTCTCTATTAGAGGCAGGCATACTTGCCAAATTATGTAAAGGCTCTATGTGAAGCAAACAATCAATCACCCAGCAATACCCCCAAGACCAATAAACAGCCCCACTGATCATGAAATATTCACAGCTTGAAAGCAGGATGCACTACCAAGCAAGACTGTCTCATAATTCTTTAGATAAGATACATTTAGGAACTGATGGGTTTTGTATTTAACCCAGCAGTTACCACACCTCTTTTGCAATGACCTCTGCCAGAAGCAAAGTTCAGTCACTAGCAGGTTTCTTGCAGGATTATATTTACCTATGTTTTGGTTATGCAACTAAAGAAATCCAGCCTATTGAATTCAGCATCCTCTTTAGAGTAATGAACAGATTTGAATACCTTTGAGAAGCTCACACAAATATGGACAATCATCATCTTCTATTTAACATTTACCTCCAGTATTTTGATATTCAATGGTATGCGATCTTGGGAGGTTTCATTAATTGCATGACCAAAAAGTGGGAGAAGTGAAAGAAGCCTATTGCCCACAATGCCTGGAATACTCTTGGTGACTGACTGTGGTAGAACATCTGGGTGGTTGAGTATAGAACTCCAGTATGCTGATGACAATGTCGTCTGTGCGCATTCAGAAGAAGATCTACAAGCCACTCTAAACACCTTCGTAGAAGCATACGAGAAGCTCGGCCTGTCATTAAACATCGAGAAAACCAAAGTGCTGTTCCAGCAGTCACCAGCCAACCCCTCCCCAATGCCAGAGATACAGCTTAATGGTGTAACATTAGAAAATGTTGACCATTTCTGCTACCTTGGCAGCCACCTCTCCACCAAAGTCAACATCGACACCGAAATACAACACCGCCTGAGCTCTGCGAGTGCAGCATTTTCCCGAATGAAGCAGAGACTGTTTGAGGACCGAGACATCCGTAGGGATACCAAGGTGCTTGTCTACGAAGCTATTGTCCTCCCAACCCTGCTCTATGCCTGCGAAACGTGGACTGTCTACAGACATCACATGAAACTCCTGGAATGATTCCATCAGCGCTGCCTCTGGAAAATCCTACAAATCTCCTGGGAAGACAAGCGGACAAACGTCAGCGTGCTGGAAGAAGCAAAGACCACCAGCATTGAAGTGATGGTCCTCCGCCATCAACTCCGCTGGACCGGCCACGTTGTCCGGATGCCTGACCACCGCCTCCCAAAACAGTTGCTCTACTCTGAACTTAAGAACGGAAAACGGAATGTTGGTGGACAGGAAAAGAGATTCAAAGATGGCCTCAAAGCCAACCTTAAAATCTCTGGCATAGACACTGAGAACTGGGAAGCCCTGGCCCTTCAGCGCTCCAGCTGGAGGTCAGCTGTGACCAGCAGTGCTACAGAATTTGAGGAGGCACGAGTGGAGGGCGAAAGAGAGAAACGTGCCAGGAGGAAGGCGCGTCAAGCCAACCCCGACCGGGACCGCCTTCCACCTGGAAACCAATGCCTTCACTGTGGGAGAAGATGCTGGTCAAGAATAGGGCTCCACAGCCACCTACGAACCCACAAGGAAACGCATAATTGAAGACCATCTTACTCGTCCAAAGAGGGATCGCCTAAGTAAGTAAGTAAGGTTGAGTACAGGAACCGAAAGAGCACCTAGGTAGGTAAGGAAAGAGATAACAGCCCTAATTCCATGCTTAAAAGTGAATTAATTAACAGCAAAATTTTAGTTTAGTACTGGTATTGGCTTACGCTCCTGCCTTACAACTGAGGGTAGCACGCTTTGGGAAAGAAGCTTCTAATGACTGAATGCAAACTTGGTTTTAAGCATGGGAGAAAACTAAACAGGCACTAGGATACCAGTCTTGTGTAGCACTTTACTATCCTTATTCAACATGTAGCTATTATTTGGAAGAGCAAAAGAAGATGCCATAGTTTCATTCCTGTGTTTGTTGTTACATCTCTTTTAGCCCTGAA